GGAAGCCTGCCACAGTGAATTACGGGGAGTGTTTCATGCAAAGATGTCAGTTCTCCCCTAAATTAGTCTATATATATTCAATGCAATTTCAATAAAAATTCTAGTAGTAATGGTGAGAAACTGAAACTTACCCTAAAATGAATATGTTAGAAATAAAAATAAAAATGATACAATAAAAAAATAATAAAATGAATATGATAGAATAAAGGTCTACTAAGGAAGCTAAGTCTATTTTGAGGGGGAAATAAAAGTTGGGCTACCTGCCCTACTGGTAGAACTGGCTCTATGACAAAGCCTCAGTAATAAAAACATTGTGTTGCTGGCACTGAAACAAAGAAAAAGACCAATGGAATAGAATGGAGAGTTTAAAAGAAAGCATATACATGGGAATTTAATATGTGATAAAGGTGGCTCACAAAGCATTAGAAAGACGGTTTTTCGATGGTGACAGAAAAACGAATTCACTGTATGGAGGAAAAAAATCTGGATTTTTACTTGAAACTATGTTAAAGGTGGATTCCGATTAAAGACCTAAGTGTCAGAAATTAAAACTATAAAGCTAAAAAGGAAAAACTGTTACCTCTGGGTAAATAAAAATTTCTTAAACGAGACTCCAAATTATAAGGTCAAAATTTAGGGCATCTGCTTAACTAACAGCATCACATCCTACAGACAAAGTTAACAGGAAGGTGACAGACTGGGAGAAGGAACTGTGACTTTTAAAACAAACACGGAATGTCTAAAATATATACATAATTCCTACCAACAAGACAGGAAACCAAATAGAAAAACAGGCAAAGGATATATATACTTTAGTTTCACATACTAAGAAGTCTATACAAGGTCATATATAAAAAGGCATATTTTTAAAAGGTTCAAATTTTATTTTAACCAGAGAAATGCAAATCAAAACAGCCAAGAGCTGCCACTTGACATCCTCCAAACTAGCCAAATTAGAAAGAGGACCTGGGTATGAATTCCTGTGCTGGTAATAGGAATGCGAAATAGCACAGCCAATCTGAAAAGATACCTGGCAATGTTTGGCAGACTCGAGCATGCTCACAGGTACATGGTTCAGAGGAATATTCCACCTCAATCTACAAATTTGCTTATTGTAGCACTTTTTATGGTAATAGAGAATTGAGGGCAAGCTAGGTTTCCATCCTCAAGGGACTGAATGGGTAAAAAACATGGATGGATGCAAAGTGGATATGTGCCAGAATTCTGGAGTGAGACGGAGTGGAAATTCAGGCTCCACCATTTACTAATTCTGACTTTGAACAATGGAAATAGAAAATTTGAGTAAATTCTCTGTGTCTTACTCTCATCTATAAAATGGAGGTTAATAATATCTACCTCATAGGGCTATTGTGAGAAGTATGTCAGTTAAAACATTTAAAGCACCTGCCATGGGGCACTTGGGTGGCTCAGTCGTTAAGCGTCTGCCTTCGGCTCAGGTCATGGTCCCGGGGTCCTGGGATCGAGCCCAGCATCGGGCTCCCTGCTCAGTGGGAAGCCTGCTTCTCCCTCTCCTGCTCCCCCTGCTTGTGTTCCCTCTCTCGCTGTGTCTCTCTCTGTCAAATAAATAAATAAAATCTTAAAAAAAAAAAAAGCACCTGCCAGAGTTAAGCACTACTCAAGTAGTAATATTCCTGTTAATATGAAAGTACATGCAAGTTGGAAGTTATGAGGTAGGTTTATAGGGGCACCTGGGTGGCTTAGTCATTAAGCATCTGCCTTCAGCTCAGGTCATGATCCCCCGGGGATGGAGCCCCCGCATCAGGCTCCCTGCTTGGCAGGAAGCCTGCTTCTTCCTCTCCCACTCCCCCTGCTTGCGTTCCCTCTCTTGCCGTCTCTCTCTGTCAAATAAATAAATAAAAATCTATGAGGTAGGTTATATATGGCAACAAGAGCATATCACAAAAGCAATGTTATTTTTAAAATATATTTATCTTTATTTTTTTAAAGATCTTATTTATTTATTTATTTATTTGACAGAGAGAGAGAGAGAGAGAGAGTGCCCAAGTAGGCAGAGCTGCAGGCAGAGGGATAGGGAGAAGCTTGATCCCAGGACCATGGGACCTATGACCTGAGCCAAAGGCACTTAAACAACTGAGCCACCCAGTTATTTTTAAAAAGTAAAAAAACAAAAAAAAAGGAACAATTAAGCACAGTATCATTTATGTGAAGTGAATACGTTCATATAACTCTACATATTACCAGACAGGCACCACAGACCTACATCAAATATATCAGAATGGGTGCCTACAGGAGAGTGGGAATGAGTGTAGAGTTTAGGAATAAAGGGGAAGAGTACAAAACAAGAAGGGGCCTTGCCTGAATCATTATGCTAATATGCCTGTGAAGAAAGGAACAGGATTTACCCATTTATGCAATCTGCAACTGAGGGCCTGGGGGAAGCTATCTTGAAAAGATTCAGGGGAAAGCCAAGAACAGGATCCCACAGCCAGAGAAATGACCAGCTCACCAACTTGGAAGCTGCCCCATCTTAGAATTTATCATCATGTGAGATAATGCCCTCCTTACTGTTTAAGGCAGCTTTGGATGGCTTTTCTGTTACTTATAGCCCAAAGCATCCTAACAGAATATTCATATAATCTTTCAAGTGACGCCAAAGAGGATTATGATTTGTCCAAGTAGCTCAACTGGGGTGTGATATAAGTGGAGATTCCAGAAAAAAATGAAAATTTTGAATAACCTACAATTTTTAGCAAACCAAACTTTCTCCAATGTATTAAAAACTCTAGGGGCGCCTGGGTGGCTCAGATGGTTAAGCGTCTGCCTTCGGCTCAGGTCATGATCCCAGGGTCCTGGGATCGAGTCCCACGTCGGGCTCCCTGCTCCTTGGGAGCCTGCTTCTCCCTCTGCCTCTCTCTCTCTCTCTGTCTTTCATAAATAAATAAAATCTTTTAAAAAAAAATAAAATAAAATAAAAAATAAAAACTCTAGAAGTATTAAAATGAGCAACACATTTATCCCACTAAGAACTGTTACTTAAAAAAAGAAAAATATTGGGGAATCTGGGTGGCTCAGTTGGTTAAATGTCCCACTTTGGCTCATCTGGGTGGCTCAGTTGGTTAAATGTCTGACTCTGGCTCAGGTCATGATCTTGGGGCTCTGGGATCAAGACCCCGTGTTGGGCTCCTCGCTCAGTGGAGAGTCTGCTTCTCCCTCTCCTACTTCCTCTTCCTTTCCCCTTCTTCCTCTGCCTCTTCCCCCACTCATGTTCACTCTCTCAAAAACAGAAAAATATTAAATTCAAACGATAAATGGGAAAAATTTTTATAAAAGCTCTTTATAAATTGATAAGATGAATAATCAATGAAAAGGCAAGTCACATAAGAAAAATAAGGTCCAAAAAACGTAAAAAATTTCAACCTCACTGATATTTTAAAAAGAAAACTTGAGGAGTGCCTGGGTGGTTCAGTCAGTTGGGCATCTGCCTTCGGCTCAGGTCATGATCTCGGGGTCCTGGGATCGAGCCCCATGTCAGGCTCCCTGCTCAGTGGGGAGACCGCTTCTCCCTCTCCCTGTGCCCCTCCCCCAAGCTTTTGCACTCTCTTTCCCAAATAAATAAAATCTTAAAAAAAAAAAGAAAACTTGGGGCACCTGGCTGGCTCAGACGGTAGAGTGTGTAGCTCTTGATCTTGGGGTTATAAGTTCAAGCCCCACATTGCGCATAGAGCTTACATAAGAAATAAAAGAAAAAAATAAAAAGAAAAATCAAACTAGTTACCATTATCATCAAATGGGAAAAACAAGTTTTCATAGTCACACCCAGTTTTGGCAACATTTTTGGGAACATCATTTACAGCTGGTGGGAGTGAAAACTGGGACATTTCTGGAAGGCGTTTGGCAAAGCACGGCAGAAGTCTTAAAATAGTGCATACTCTGACTCAGCAGTTCCCTAGAATTTACCCTAAAGAATAGTCATAGATGTCAACAATGATTTTACTAAAAGCACTAGCATTACAGGATTGTTTTTTTCTATTTTTTTTTTTAAAGATTTTATCCATTTATCTTAGAGAGAGCGAGCACGGGGGCAGGGGAAGGGGCAAAGGGAGAGAGAATCTCAAGTAGATTCTGCGTCCAGCAGGGAACCCTATGCAGGGCTCAGTCCCATGACCCCAAGATCACGACCTGAGCTGAAACCAAGAGTCAGATGCTCAACAGACTGAGCCACTCAGGCGCCCCTAGAGGATGTTTATAAAAGCCAAAAATTGGGAACAAACTAAAAATCCCAAAGTAGGGGGAATCAATGAAGTTATGGAAAATCCACACAATGGGATACACATAGCAATTATAATTATCAGTATTTACAAACGATCTCTGCTGATTAGTATCTGTAGAGTTCAGGGAAAGCTAATTAATCTCTGCCTCAATTTCCCTATTTAAATGAGGTTTTTTGTTTTTACAGAAGAACACTATAGCCTAATGTCCTGAAAAGGTGTTAATGAGAGATTAAACAAAAAAAGAAGGGTATAAACCAGTATATACAGAATACTTTATAAATATATCTCGTATATATAAATTTATAAAAATAAAGACTAGAAGGATATATACCAGAATAGAAATAGCATATCTTTTTGAATAATAGGATTACAGGTTGTTTTTCTTATTTTTGTCTATATTTAAAAATTTTTCAACAAACGTGCTACTTTGGTTAAAGGTAACAACTATCACCTCTATCAGAATTAAAACTAAAAACTGCCATTTTTGGGCACCTGGGTGGCTCAGTTGGTTGGGCGACTGCCTTCGGCTCAGGTCATGATCCTGGAGTCCCTGGATCGAGTCCGCATTGGGCTCCCTGCTCGGCAGGGAGTCTGCTTCTCTCTCTGACCCTCCCCCCTCTCATGTGCTCTCTCTCTCAAATAAATAAATAAAATCTTTAAAAAAAAAAACAACTGCCATTTTTTTCGTTCCAACTGGTGGTGAATCCACCCCAAATTAGTGGGGTGATGAAGAACTGGAATCACAGATGTTTCTCTTCATAGTCTTTATTACCACACAATACACTCGCAGTCCCTCCTTTATAAACCTTATACACAAATAACAAAACAATTAAAAGATCTTCCTTTCTAAAAGCTAATTTATTCCAGTTTCCTCTCTTTATACAGAGTGACTGGATAGATTCTCCATGTTATCCTAAGCCTTTAATTCGGAAAGGCTGTCACAAAGGTGAACTTGCCCCATGAGGAAAACAGTGTCAAGAACCAGTTAAGTCCTCACTGTCCTCCTTTCTGGGGGAAGAATGTCTGGCTGGCAATGGTGAAATGGGACATTTATAACATCTTCTTTTTTGTAACAGGTGAGGACAGGCCCCAGTGGCAGACAGACTGTCTTAGTCACATGAGCCTCTTGGGGTCTATTTTCTCTAGGTGAACCAGAGGTTTCAGCTGCTCGGCAAAGTTCCTCATGTCATCAGAGACCATGTCCTGCCCAGCTGGTGCAACGACACTCAGTTCCACAAGATAGGAAAGTGACAAGGCTTCAGTGCTGTCTGTGTTTCCTGGGACCAGGATGCGGAAGATCTTATACACCATAATCTTCATGATACCCTTGCGGAACAAGTGACCCTTGGCGACAAACTCATGGTCCATGCGGAATCCCATTTCCATCAAGAAGTCAGTGAGGTTCTCAGATGTTGCAATGTCTACACAATTTCGCACCAGGGCATGGCGGTTCTTGTCTCCCATTTCCGGCTGTCCCAGGTAGCGCAGATGCCAGGGTGCCCCTCCCCTATCCATAGAACGCCGGGCCCTTAGAACAAATGGACTAGCCTGCTGGCCCTTAAGGAGGAATACCATCTCATGGTCAAGGAAAGTCTCAGGTTCCATGTTGTCACACAAACCCCGAAGGCGGTGGATGAGGCTTTCCAAACTGTGATCTAAAACGCTTCCTGAAGAAGGAAAGAGTACTGTTGAGTCCCATCTTTCATTTTGGGTACTGGGATTAGCAAAAGATTGAAAAAACTTAAATGAAAAACCAAAACAGTTTACTGCAGTGTTCGTAAAGCATAGGTCCAGTACATGAGATTTCAGAGGGGTTACGCTGCCAAGGTACTGGATAACATTTTGAGAAAGTTAATCCTCTTTCAGTTTTTTTTGCATTGTCTTACAACTAAGAAAGTCTTACTAGAAAGTCTTTAGGCCTTCCCTAAATGCTAATCGCCAACGGGCTCTGGGCTCAGAGGCTTGAACAACCATAGTATCTATCTACAATAATAATAATACTCTTGTCATTTATTTGAAAAATTATCTTCTATTTCCAGCAACACAAGTTTTTCATCTATAGATTACAACATTTCCTTTTTATGTCACATATTCAAGTAAAAGAGAATGAAATGCTCCATAGAAATACACTGATCTTTGTTCTCCTCTAATTCATCCTCCTAGCAGCATCTGACCTGGTTGTTAGATTATACCCACCTTGAAATCTATTCTTCCCTTCACATCTGGGACACAACTCTTCTCTTAGTTCTTCACCTAACTCACTGACCATTCCTTTTAAGTCTACTTTGCTGGGTCTTTCTCATCTTCCCTAAATACTGGAGGACCCTAGGACTCAATCCTGGTCCTCTTTATCAACAATCTCTTCCTCCCAAGGTGATCTAATTTGGTGCTATGGCTTCAAATATCATTTATGCCCTGAGGACTCCCATATTTATCTCATGAACTACAGACTCATATATCCAACTGTCTCCTCGGCTTCTCCACTTGGATGCCTAACAGACATCTTCATCTTCCTATGTTCAGTATCCAACTGTTGGCTTTTCCTCCACAATCTTATTCCTCCTGCAGTCTTCTCCATCACAGTAAATGGAAACTCTCTGCTTCTAGTTGCCCAGGCTCCAAACCACAGAATCATCCTGACTCCTTTCTTTCCCCCATATCCTATATCCAATCCATACTTTTAAAATATATGCAGAATCCAACCACTTCCCACTTCCTCAATCATTTCCATCTAGTCCAAGTCTCCCTCATTTCTTGCCTGGTTTTTGCAATAGCCTGCTTCTACCCTTGCCTGCTTCTTCTCTTTTCCATACAACAACCAAGTGGTCTTTTTAGAATATAAGGCAGATAATGACACTCCTCTCCTCAGAACCCTCCAATGGCTTCCTGTGTCATTCAGAATAAATCCCAAAGTCTTTACCATCATCTACAAGGCCCTATACATTGTGGTCTCTGCTACCAGTCCAACATCATTTCCTTCTACTATCTTCCTAGATCACTCTCTCCAGCCACAGTGATCTTCCTGTTGTTTCCTGAAAATGCCAAGTATTTGATAAAGTATTTCTCTTCAGAGCCTCTTCCCTTAGTCCTACACTTAGAAAATTTTCCTCACCAGTATCTGCATGCCTCGCCCCATCACTTTCTTCAGGTCTTTGCTCAAGTATCACTTTATCAGAGAGGTCTTTTCTGATCACCCTAAATAAGACAGCACATCTCCCTCCAATCTCTTTCCACCTCCCTGCTTGAGTTTTCTTTAGCATTATCACCTCAATTCTTTAGTCATCTTTCAATGTATCAATTGTATATTGATACTTTACTCATCTTTCTTCCTCCACTGCTGATACTCCAATGCTAGGAACATATTCAAATATGTACTGAATAAATCTGTTAAAATAAATAAGAGTATATATTGTTACTATGGTAAATATTGACAGTGAGACTCAAAGGACTGAATTTTTGGAAATGGGGAACATTGTCGGAAAAGCAACAGATCAGATCCCAGTAATCATAGGACAGAAGATCATGGGAGCAGGGAACAAGTCCTACATTCAATACATTGTACCCTATATTCAGGACAGTATCAGACATGTGTTTGTTCATTCCTCATTTTTTTTTTTTAAAGATTTTATTTATTTATTTGACAGTGAGAGACACACAGAGAGAGGGAACACAAGCAGGGGGAATGGGAGAGGGAGAAGCAGGCTTCCCGCCAAGCAGGAGCCCGATGCGGGGCTCGATCCCAGGACCCTGGGATCATGACCTGAGCTGAAGGCAGACACTTAACGACTGAGCCACCCAGGTGCCCCCATTCCTCATTTTTTTTTAAAGATTTTAGCAGGGGCTGTTGTTGGAGGACCCTCCCTGCTTCAGATTTACCAACAGCATGAATCAAGAAAAGTTAGCCAAACTTCAGGCTCAGGTCCGGATAGGGGGCCAGGGTACAGCTCGCAGAAAGAAGGTGGTACATAGAACAGCTATGGCTGATGACAAAAAACTTCAGAGTTCTCTAAAAAAACTGGCTGTGAATAATATAGCTGGTATTGAAGAGGTGAATATGATTAAAGATGATGGGACAGTTATTCATTTCAACAATCCCAAAGTCCAAGCTTCCCTTTCTGCTAACACCTTTGCAATTACTGGTCATGCAGAAGCCAAACCAATCACAGAAATGCTTCCTGGAATATTAAGTCAGCTTGGTGCTGACAGTTTAACAAGTCTTAGGAAGTTAGCTGAACAGTTCCCTCAGCAAGTGTTGGATAGCAAAGCACCAAAACCAGAAGACACTGATGAAGAGGATGATGATGTTCCAGATCTCGTAGAAAATTTTGATGAGGCATCAAAGAATGAAGCTAACTAAAAGTTTTTCTGGAGTGTGGAAGCTGGCATGGACTAGATTTAACAAATCAGCTGTGTGGTTCCAAAGTTTTACAGACATGGAGAACATCAACTGTTACTAGTTCAGTAATATAAATATTTTGTATATTAATAATGCTGTTTGTTCAGCATTTTTCGGTCATTTGATTTTGCATTTTGCACTTCCTCCCAGGATCTATTCTTTCGGTCAAAATACGAAGTATTGGTGCAGTTTGAGGGTGTTTTGGTGTTTGATTCTCAGTTTTCTGTTTTGTGTTTTCGTTGGGGTATTTTTGGTGTGTGTATGTGTATGTATGTGGGTGGGTATGTGTGTATACAGTGGAGAGCAAATTGGAAAACAGTTCTATTTATCCTCCTTCTTCCCCCAGTAGAAAATAAAACAAATCTTTACATTTAAAAATAAATAAATAAATAAATAAATAAATAAATAAATAAAGATTTTAGCAGGGAGCTGGGAGCCTGATATGGGGCTCGATCCCAGGACCCTGGGATCATGACCTGAGGCGAAGGCAGATGCTTAATGGAGTGAGCCACCCAGGCGACCCCGTTTCTCAAACATTTGAGGAGCTTTGTGAGTGTTGGTTCATTTAACCTATACTCCTTGAATGCTATTCTAGGTACTATGCTAGGAAGTAGGGGTCCATGCTCTAATGGAGATTACACTTTAGTGGGGGAAGCACAAAATAAGGAAGTAAATAAACAGAAATACAAGGAAATAAAAGGGAGATGGGATAGAGAGCAATTGGTGGGGGTGGAGAAGAGAAGACCTCTCTGAGGGGCTGGAGTCAGAGAAGGTCTCCCTAAGGGTATGCAACTGAGCTGAAACCTGAAGGATGAAAATGAGGTGGTTATTTGAAGAGCTGGAGAAAAGTATTGGGCCAGAGGGATCATCAAGTGCTAAGGCACAGAGGCAGGAAAGGGCCTGGGGAATTAAAGAAAATGGAAAGGTATCAGTGTGCTTGAAACGCTGTGAGAGAGAAGGAAGATGAGAATGAAGTGAGGATTTGGCCTGGGCCACAGCAGTGTAGGACTGACATACAGTCCATGGTGAAGGTGGACAGCTATGTGTGCCACACTTTATTTTCAACAAAACAGGGAAAGACATGACTGGATTTACATTTTCTTTTTTTTTTTTAAAGGGTTTTATTTATTTATTTGAGAGTGAGAGAGAACGAGAGAGAGAGAGCACGAGCAGAGGGAGTGGCAGGCAGAAGGAGAAGCAGACTCCTTCCTGAGCAAGGAGCCCGACGCGGGGCTCGATCCCAGGACCCTGGGATCATGACCTGAGCCGAAGGCAGACGCTTAACCGACTGAGCCACCCAGGCGCCCTGGATTTACATTTTCAAAGGATCATTCCAGGAACACTGGTATGGACTCCTCATCAAGACAACTGCATGATACTTGATTGCATCCTGTTTACAAAATACATTTTGGGGACAATAGGGGAGAAACTTTTGAATATGGACTAGATGTTAGGTGATATTAGAATATATTATTAATTTTCTTAAGATAATAATGATAGGGGGCACCTGGGTGGCTCAGTCATTAGGCAGCTGCCTTCAGCTCAGGTCATGATCCCAGGGTCCTGGGATCGAGCCCCGCATCGGGCACCCCGCTCTATGGGAAGCCTGCTTCTCCCTCTCCCACTCCCCCTGCTTGTGTTCCTTCTCTCGCTGTGTCTCTCTCTGTCATATAAATAAATAAAATCTTAAAAAATAATAATAATGATAGTATTAAGGTTATGAAGAAAAATATCCTTGTTTTTTAGAGTTGCATACTGAAGAGTTTAGGGGTAAAATGTTATGAAGTCATAAAATCTTCTTTAAGAACAGCAAAGAGGGGTGCCTGGGTGGCTCAGCTGGTGGAGCAGGTGACTCCTGATCTTGGGGTTGTAAGTTTTGAGCTCAACGTTAGGTGTAGAGGTTACTTAAATATACAATCTTAAGGAGCGCCTGAATGGCTCGGTCAGTTAAGCGTCCGACTCCTGATTTGGGCTCAAGTCATGATCTCAGGGTTGTGAGATCAAGCCCTGAGTTGGGCTCTGTGCTAGGAGTGGAGCCTGCTTAAGATTCTCTCTCTCCCTCTCCCTCTGCTACCCTCCCTCCCCTCCCTCTCTCTTTTTTTTTAA